TTGTGGAAGTATCTCATCTTCCTGTGTACCCTGTGAAAGTTGTTTCATCTACTGTTCCATATAATCAGAAATACTCATGGTCATCTACTGCATAGTCAAAATATGGAATCTGTTTCCTAAGTCGTAGCCACCAATGTTCCTGACAGTTCTGGACTACACATTGAACATCTAAATGTTATTTGAACATATGAAATTATACAAAGTAAATCAATACAGACAATAGGTCACTTTGTTTCACTTTATCCAAATACGTTTAGGTATCCAATTCTAAACGGCAGGATTCTACTTAAAAAGGCTGCAGGGAAAAATATATGTAGAAAAGGATTCTTGGGATTCTGGGGATTCTGGGAATGTATTAAGGATACCAATTGTGTTGATGCTCATTTCTGTGATGGAAACTTGAGAGGAGCTAAACTGGGACATATCTGACTTCAACAGCTGATGTTTTACATGAATTTGTGTTATAGCTGGTGGGAGTAACTCAACTCTTTATAGTATCTAAGTTTTCAAGAATAACGCTTCTTTTGAGTTTGTTACTGTGCACTGACTTAGCGACAGGATGTTGGGACAGTTTCCTGTTGTGACCGTTTTCTAACTAAAAAGCTCAAATCTTAACTGCTGCAATATATGACAATGGCTAATGTCTGACGGCTGACATGATGCAGAGCTGAGCCCCACCATGGTCAGGTAGGTGTAGTCGCTGGCTCTGCTCAGCCCCAGTTTCTTCTTCTCCTCTGGAGTCATGCCCTTCAGCATGCAGTAGAAGACGTGGTAGTTCCTCTCATCGTGCGCCTGCAGAGAGAGAACACAGATCGTTTACTCAAGCATGAGATTCACATTTACAGCAGCACACAAAAAACAGATCAATAACTATTCAAAGGAGAAAATAAACTAAGAAATTAAAAGTAGATTTATAGAGCAATATACATTATGTAGAATAAAGTACCTTAGACTATAAACCCTACGTCATGTGGTGTAGCAGCAGTATTTAGGTACAGGTATGAATAGTACATTATAATATATTAAAGTATAAACTATGTTTATGTGCAATATATGGAATGTATACATACTTAAAGAGAATTATACATTGCTATAAATCACAACAAAAAATGAAATACAAAAATCTCAATGTTGCAGTGATTTGGTATTTGGTTTGAAAAAAAAAACAATAATAAAGTAGCTATGTTAAAATAATGTGATGTTACTTTGGACCTTTGCAGCACATTGTTAATGATTCAGAAATATACATTTGACTGTTGTTTTTGTTTATTAGTGACTATCCCAGCTAGCGGGGAACGTTTCTCACAACTTTTGCCTGCAACATTCTAAGGATGTGTTTTGGACGTTGTTGGGTAACAAATTAAAGATGTTCTTTATAAAACGTTCCCTCAATGTTACATGATAACAAATCAAGAACATTTTCAAAGCAACATTCTGAAAATGTTTTCAGGATGTTATTCTTTTTTTTATAAAACATTCCTGTTATGGCAAATATTAACACGGTCATGGTCAACGTCAGATTCATTTCTAGAGCTCTTTAAAAAACAAACTTGTTGCATTTGTTTGAAAAGGATGTTTTGAAAAAAATCTGATGCACCATATTTTCCTTTTGAAAAATACAAACAAGCACGTAATTCATGATAAGCTGTAAGCAGATATTGCATGTTTGCGGTGGCATGTGTGAGTTCCCAGCTAGAAATGTTTGTTACCATTCATTGTTCTAGGAATGTTTTCAGCGGGACGTTTTATTTTGGTTCCCAGAATGTTCTTCTGAAAGGTAGGATAACGTTCTTTAAAAACATTCTTGAAATGTTTGGTGATAACCTTCTTAAGATGTTTTTGATAACCTTCTTAAGATGTTTTTGATAACATTATTAGAACATTATGCCCTACTGTTCTTAAAACGTTTTCAGCGGGGGCGTTTTATTTTGGTTCCCAGAATGTTCTTCTGAAAGGTAGGATAACGTTCTCTAAAAACATTCTTAACATTTTTGGTGATAACTTTCTTAAGATGTATGAGCGCATACATCTTAATAATAAGTGCCGTTCTAATTCTCTACATGATAGGAAAGGAGGTTTCAAACTTCCTTTATAACCTCCTTTAGCTTAGGAACCACTGGACCTCCCTCACCGAAAGGAGAGGAGAAAATGCTGCCCCACAATGCCTTGCAGCCGCAGCATTTGCCATCACACAACAGTCGGCCGTTCACAGAAACAACCGATTATGACGGAGAAATTATATCATGAAACTTACACATTTTGAAAGCATTTTGAATTTTTGCATTTTGAAACGTATGTGGTAAGTTGCCAAAGTGCTTTGTTTTGAACGTTCATCAGTATTATAATCAAAAAGTGAAATATGAACGTTAGTTTTTACTGAAATTATTAAATAAAGTCAACATTTCACAGAGCTGTGTGGGGTTTGTTCAACTTTTAAAATATGTTTGAATGGTGATATACACAGTGATAGATGTTAAAGACTAACGTTTATAATAAATAC